TTCGCGGGTGTGTAGCTCAGAAACTAGAGGGGCTTGCGTTTTAAGAATGGCGGGATTGGGAATAGCACCGAAAGGTGTTCAAGATGGCTAGTTCAGTTTAAAAGAGCATATAAATGTGAAATACTCCTTTCAAGACTCGCCCGGGCGCGCCTGGCGCCCGGCCCGAGCGCGTCCATACCCGATCGGGCGGGCTGGGCACGCCCATCCCACGCGCCCATTCCCTGCGCCCATCCCCCGGTTGAGTCATTCCCTGGTGGAAACATTCCCCGAATTTCGGTCCAATTACGAATAGGACACATTACACTCACACATTGTCCCACATACTTACGTCAGTCTCCCACCCCCCCCCCCCCTCATCCCCCAGTGTCAGCCGGGCGATCATCCCCTTCCGGTAAAGCATATTATCATTGAGTGAACTAAATTTTGACAGCGACGCAAACATATATAGACCTATTTCCGCAGGCTTATAAGGACAAAACGCCTCAAACAAATGAAGTGCAAAATGGAACGTCGTTTTAGTTTGCGTGAGTTATTAAAACTTTTTGCCTGTGCAGGGTAACATGACCTACCTGATATGGGCATAGAACGGGCATCTCCCCGGGCCGGGCGCCCGTGTCCCCTCCCCGCTCGTCAGGGGTCCTCTCTGGTGGGGATCTTCCTCCCGTGGGGTAGGGTCCTCCTGGTTGGGTCCTCCGGGGCTCGCGGGAAGGGGAGCGGGGACTTTGGGGAGAAGCAAGTTTCCGAACAGGGGCGGCGGGGGGCGGGGGCATGAATGGCAGCCGGAAGACACCCCGTGGTAGGACAGACCGACCTTCAGCTCTCTCCCAGGAACAATAAGGTGCCCACCAGTGTTTTACACAACACAGTGTTTCACATTTTCCCTTTCGCAGAAAAAAGTAATGGGGCTCATTAGTGTTGAATAGAGTGGGTCGAAATCCGTAAAAAAACGAACCAGGCTATCGCATGTTTTCCTAAGAGCGTTTCTTCCTTTGCAGAATCGACTGGTGAAACAAATTACATAAAAGGTTTCAGCATGCGTACCAGCAAATTCAGCATCTCGAGAGCATGCACAGCAATGGCCCGGGTTGTAGTGTCCGCAGAACCGAACGGCGTTGGCCACTGCAAGTAATGCCAGATGGTGGGTGCTGTGCGTGTAAGACCGACCGTCGTAAAAATGGTTTCGAATGCCTTTTAAAATTCATAGAAGGCATTCAAAGATGAGGCTGGGTGCATCTTTTCTACTGCTTTGAGATTGTCCTTGGGACAGATAAACAGTTAAAACAACACGAAGAAGAGAGAACTATTACTATGTTTCAGATTTTCGGTTCAATTCTACTTTGCGCTGCCGTAATGGCCAATCCGTTCTCATCGTCAATCTGAAAATTGCACAGGTGAAGTACACCCCCGGAATTCCTCCGAAATGTGCAATTTGATTATCTTACAAAGTAATCCTACACATTCCTTCGAATGCATTTTCACTTTCGTTCTCCCGTTGACCCCGGCTCAGTGTCAGCCGAGGGACCAACGCTGCGCGGCCTATGGAGACTACAACGTCTGACATCGAGTGTTTGCTTGCTAAGATTTGCAAACGGGCAACTACGTTACATAAGTTGCATCATGCATCAATTCTGACTGAATGTTGAGCATTTTCAGACAAACATGGCTTGGCAGCGTTGGTGTCAAATTTGTTATTTGTTTTGATCTACATGCGCAGGGGTCATATCTCTGTACAGCCCATGTAAACCAATTTGAAAGAGGTTTCTTAGTTCTATCGGTTTAGAAAGAGTCAACTGGATCATTGCAAAATGAACAGTGCCAGTGATTTATTTCACGCAGTCGTTTAATGCATGTTTATTAATTATGAATTCAGGCAGAGTTGATCTTGCGGTAGCTTCTGGCTTTTATTCTAGTCATAGAAGGTAAAAATGAAAATATGAGAGGCAGAGTTCCTTCATTAACAACTAGACCATGTTCGGCTAGTTTTTAGTGTGTGTGTGTGGGGGGGGGGGGGGGCTGTGCAAGTAAGAACAACCGTTGTAAAATGGTTTTGAATGTATTCTAAAATTGATTTGTGCCCTTTAAAGATAAGGCTGGGCGCATCTTTTCTACAACTTTGAAGCTCTTACCATCAGGGGCCCTTTATCAAGCCTGTGTCCCTCTCCCCTAACCGAGGCTCTGGCCGCGTGCCTGCTCCAGCGCGTTAATGTTTTATCCCATGTGCCTTCCTTTACTGTTGGAGGCAAAACGTCGTTGGCAATATTGAATTTGGTCTAGGTTTCAGCTACCAGGAAGTTCGATTCGTTTTATTTCTTCCTTTTGAAATTTGCTGCGGCTAGAAAGCCACCTTTTTAGAATCTTGCTGTTCTGCTTGCTCTAGCGTATCCAGAAGTTCTTCGGTAGACCGCCCATGTTTTGCCTCCTTTTGTGGAGAGGAGTCAGGGCATAAAATCACAGCCAGTGATCGAGTCACCAACAGACGTCACTCGATCACGTCAACAGCACGCCGTTTTCTGGCGCACGCGAGCCGTTTTTGTCCCAGGACCCCGGACGGCCTAATAGAGTTACAGTGCGACTTTTTGCCAACACAAGATTGATGCTGGTGTAGGACGGCACGGCTCGGCTGCGGCTGAGGGTGTCGCGTGTCGGTGAAGGCCTCGAGACCTCGGAGTCCTGCAGCATTGTCCAGTGTCACCCCTACCACAAACACATGCCCAGGATTACTAACGAGAGAGGGACGTGCCACATGCAGCTGAAGCAGAAAAAAACGGATCGGGGTCGGGAGGCGTGGAAATAACGAATGACGAGCGGAATGTGTGCCACCGGAGATGACCAATTTGGACGCGAATAACATATTACGGTCAATTTGGGAAGTGATTCACAAGACACGGCCACTCGGACCGTAATTTCACGACCGTTCTAGCATCATTGCCGTGACCACGCCGTACGTTCGGTGTCAGGACCATGACCAAACTCAGAGCATGACAGGCTCAAAAAAGCATTCACCGTCAATATTATGTGATTGCGACTTTAGCGGGCGTCTCACCTTTAGAGGAACGTTTCAAAACATACCCTAGTGAAGCATTATGACACCTTACGGCTATAACAATAAAGACACGCCTAATGATCGCGCTGGGTAGTGCCACTGCAGGACAGTCGAGACATAATAGGGCGATCAATTTTCACGATTGATGAGTCCAAATTACACTGTCAACGCCTTGTAACGGCGCTACGTTTCTTCCCTGCGGTCGCAACTGCTGTCGTCATGCCAGCCACCGTGAGCACTGGTGCGAATAAAAGACTTTCTGATTGGCCCAGCGGGTAAGACCATGTTACCGATTAGTTGGTTGGTTGCAGATTAAGCCAGTGCGCGACATGGATATGTCATACTTACGTTCCCGAAGCCGAAGTGCGCATCGAAAACAGCGGCTGTGGTGGGCGCCACAGAGATTAAAGTCGTAGCATAATGTTTCGTTGAATTCGCGGGGGTAAAAGTCTCATCTTCGCATATCTTTTTGTCTTAGAAGGATGCATTTTTTCGTAGCATTTATTGCACAAACACTTTGACACATGAGTGTTTTGTAAACATCACTGAATACACAGACTGGGAAAAGTAACGCGGATGGGATGTGTTGCTTGGACTGTAGTGAGCAGGAAGTCAACAAAGATTTTTCCCGCAGGGTCGGGAACTTCAAATTGCCACTATGGGCTATCTAGACGGTTTTCGAGAAAACCTGTATCACTGATCAAAGCATACGCGTCTGATGTAACAATAAGTAAAAAGCGAAAAAGGTGGGATAATGGAATCATGACTTCAAATGATGGAAACAAGGCGAGGCAATGAAATGAGGCGAAGGGTTTGTGCAATGAACGAACACTTATGACGGAGCGAGCGCTCCCAGCGAGCCGGGCAGCTGCATTACTGAATCTTTAAAATGCCACATATCTATATGCACTTCACATGAATCGCGCCTGGCACAGCATAGCAAATCGTGTGCACAAAGAAAAGGGTTTGCAAAACAGTCCCGTTACGCAAGCAAATGCAGATAGCCTTGGTGAAGTAATCTGATTACCCAACTGAAAAAATATTTTATCTTAGAACGTCTTTTTATGTCATTACTTTATCATATCGCAGGTGCGTGGCTCAACTTCCTGCGATATCGGCCCTCCTACCAGCGTAGGCGACGCCACATGACCTTAATTGCGGAGTGATTCACAAATCCCCAATGACATCCAAGAACCATGAAATATTCACATGCAATACATATACTTCAAACCTTGAGGTACATACCTTTTGGGGAATGAATATCACTCCAGGGTTTGTTGCTGCTTTACAGCTGTATCTAGCAGCGGACACCATTTTCCCCTCTTGCCATTGCAAGAATCGTGTTCGAACCTCCCGTGGCGGCAGTCGGAAGACCATGTTTGGTGCATGAAGGCTTAGGCTGCTTGGCTGGCTGCCAGCAACGGCGGACTTGTGCAGCTGAGGCCGTTTGGTTACGGAATCAATCTCTCGGGGCTCTCCGTAGACGAACGTCGAGTCACGTGTGCACGCCAGGCGGACGTCGAATCACGTGTGCACCGTGCACCGACCGTGCAGCCGCGCTGGAGCTGACCCTGGCTGGCTTGCACTGCACCGCGGCGCAGGCCTGCGTCGCAGTCCTGTGACCTTGACCTTGGCTGGCCTGCACCGTGGCGCGGTCCTGTGACCGTGTCATCGCGCCGCCGGCGGTGGTCCCACATACGGCACACTGCGTCCGTCACAGTGGTGTGATATATCTTCTGCTGCATGCTTGTCCCAACTGTTGCACCACAGCCCTAGCACAGCCATCGCACCCCTAGCATGCATGTGAACCTGTACCAACGTGCGTCCCGGTTGTCATATCGTGTGCATTTCACACATCAGTGTAAGCTGACCAATGTGAGCAGGAGGTCAGTGTGCGTGCAGGGCTCCGGCGGCCGTGAGCGACGACCCTTACACGGTACGCGGGTGCGTGCTTCAGGCTACGCCTACATCATCGCGCCGTGGCTGGCGCTGGTGGCGGAGTCGCTGGAGATGTTCACACTGCACCTGGCCTGGATGGCGGCCGTCCTCTTCACCTCCGGCCAGAGCTCGCCCGCCATCGAGGCCACCACACAAGCCGTCATCACCGTCTGCCACTACGGCATAGGTCAGTGGATGGGGGATGTCCCTGGAGGACGGCAGGCGGTCAGCAACGTCTGCAGCTGCAGCATATGTCAGTAACGAGGGATGTCGCTGGAGGACGACAGACGGTCATAACCATCTGCTACTAAGGCATAGGTCGGTGAATGGGGATGTCGCTAGAAGACAGCCACAGATGGTAACCAACGTCTGCCACTGCGGCATGGGACAGTGGATGGGGAAAGCCATGCAGTGGCGAAGTAGCTCCGTCGGGACCGGCTCGGCTTCCAAGCTGGAGGCCCGGGATGGAGTCCCGGCTGACGCCTTAGCCTCTGGCCTCTGGAACCAAAAGCCGGAGTGGTCGCAGTGGTCTCTGGTGATACCCGGCTGCTGATAAGCGGCTCCGCTCCAACCTCCTGGTAAACGGCTCCGTTCCGACCTGCTGGTAAGCAGTTCCGTTCCAACCTGCTGGTAAGCGGCTCCGCTTTGACCTGCTGGTAGGCGGCTCCGCTTTGACCTGCTGGTAAGCGGCTCCGCTTTGACCTGCTGGTAAGCGGCTCCGTTCCGACCTGCTCGCAACGAGGGCAGGTCGAACACCGGTTGAATGCAGCGTCAAAGCTATATGAACCGGCTTCACTAACAAAAATGCCCACGGAGGCTCATATCTCCGTTACTAGCATACGCGCGTACTTTAGTCCCGTTGATAAGTCGAACTTCACAAACTCCACCCAAGAGGTCCCCAGTTTCTGAACGCGCATGTTAATGGGGCGTGCGCATATGGTGCATGGATTCATGCCTGCCTTTGATGACCAGTGAGTGCTGACCACCATTAGAGCACGCCGATAGCTTTTGTCCCTTTCATTGGTAAGTAATGGTAGATTTGCGTTGCCAACTTACTGCTAATATCTTATTCTTGTCGTCATATTCGTCATGTGGACCGTATGGCAAACGCTGGCTTTATATGATTTTGGCCTCAACATGACTCCGGGAATAAGTCTTCCAAATGGAAGGCTCATTTCTGAAATCTATTCGAGCGACATCCTCACGGCGACAACAGCTACATGGTCATGGTCACAACATCCATCAGCTGGGGACCATATGCGATCAGTGGTGGGGAAACAGAAGCTGTGAGCTCATAACAGCCCACATACAGCAGTCATATTATTTTCGTTTTGTTTGCTTTCCACATAAGGTGTCGGAATGCCGAGGCTGCCCTCCGTGGTTTATATTTGAGCCGATTCGTCATAATCTGCAACCAATTCGGATGATATAGATTCGAATTGCATCAGCGTTCGAGGGGATATTTTCTTTCCACCTTGACACAAAACAGATGAGACAGACATCGACGCCGTCTGTCGGGATTATAGCACGGCTCTAGAGACTCTAATGCATATCACCGCCTATCAAACTCTGCCTACAGAATTTAACGATCTGAGCTATTTTTTGCCTTTATGACATCGACTCATTGTCTGTATACATGTTACCCAAACCCCACGCATAACTTCCTACATTTTACCAAATTTGGGCTGTGAGGCGCAGCACACAACCGTGCTGCGCCACAACTGCCGAGGTTTCTGCCCCCAGTTACGTGGCGCCGCCCGGCTTTGCTGTGGCGGGCTCGTCGCTACGGGGCAGCTCAGCTCCCGAAGCTGCCTTGATCGCGGCCGCCGACCCAGCACGGCCATAAGCAGGGCCATAACGGTACTCGGTCGGGGCAGATCCGGCAAGCCAGTCGGCACCGGCCGGACGGCTCGGACCGTTCGCTCTCTGTCCGCGAGACGGCGGCCCTTCGCCCCGGAGGGTGTCAGGCCATTGGATCAGCTGGCCTGCCTGTCATGTCTCAGTCCTTCGCTGTTCAGCCAATGTGATTGCTCCGTCTTGTGAGATCATTTCTTCTTTAAGTCAGCAAGATGGAACGCATGTGCATTATGTGCACATGCATGAATATGCGTACGCTATGTTACCAGCGCGTACCAGTGCGTATGCTCACCGGTGCATGCTGTTGTTTTGGCGTTCTACGTTAGGACCACAGCACGCGAATTGTGAAATTGCGGAACGTACATATTTCCTGAAATCGTCATGGGTAATCGTTGTCGGGCCAACCGTCCTACGCCAGAATCTATCACGCTAGAAAGAGATGACCATGAGCTCGAAATATGTAGCAGCGCTCTCTCAATCGAAGGTGAAAAACTTACGTTTACTCCTGATGTTCTTCTGGTTCAGCTGCTTTATTAGGCGATAATACTCAGCGGTTGAGTTAACAATAATGATGCGAAGGTTTACGATAAGTGAAATTTAAAACCTACGAATAACCTAACAAATTAAAGAGCTCCATGACCGCAGGTAAAACTGTGCTGTGCAAGTGAAGGCGAACACCACAAGATAAACAGACGCCTGTGCTCAGAAAGATGAAAACTGTCTTAAAAAATGCTTCAAATTTGGTGATATTAAAGTAATCATCACACATGATGAAATAAGGTCACTTATAATTTTAGGTGTACTTTTAAGCGAAAAAGAATGCTCTGGACAAAGCAACTGCATAGCTAAGTACATATGGTCCTGGAAACGTAATTGTTTGATTACGTCATCGTACCTTGGACAACATTGAAGAAGAGCCAATTGGCGGCTATATCTGGAAATCGTATGCACGAACGTCAGATATGAATGACTCGATCATTGCATTTTTATTGGCCTTGATCGCCGCATGGCTTATGGACTGGCAGAATTTGAATGACGTTATTATGATGTTATGTATGCCGCGGTGGCCTAAAATACTCCCCCCGAAATAGTCTTCCCATCTTCGTGGGGATGTAGCTCAGATGCTAAGGGGGTTCATGTCTTAAGATCAGGGCTGAGAACTACACTGAAGATGGCTATTTCAGGTCAAAACCCCCATACAGATGTACATAGAACACCCTTTTAACACTATGGGACACGACCCCATAGCAACCCGACAAGCGACTGGTGCTACTCGCTTGATGCAAACTCAAGGCCTTGGCCGGTATATTAACAATAGCACATTTGCACCGTTGCCGTGACTGCCGTTTCCTGCGGTTCCGTAAAATACCCTCTGGTTTCTTACCTCTACCTATTGTGACACAAGGCTTTAAAGGGATCGCTTCTTTTGTGTGACATACATCACTTCTACGTGTACCTGGATCCTCAAGTAAACTGGTGCTATATTTATCCTCTGTATCCAGCGTATTATCGCATAGGTGTAGGTTCGTTTTCGTGCTGGTAATGCCTCCCATTACTTCAATGCAACAAACTCGCATACGTCATTTTGCAAGTACATATCTGATGCAAATCATGCACCTTCTCGCACATACAACTGAGTTACATTGTTCGGTTATGTTTGGCATAGGTGGCAAAAACACGTTATACTGTTTATTCTTACATAGCCTACATCATTTGAGCATGTGCATGCATGCACATGACATCTGCGGAAATGTACACGGTTTGCAAGATTTCTTCACGGGAAGCGGCTTCTCGCACCTAGTTTTGAAACATAAAAGAGCTGGGGAATAATTTTGCATCAAGTCGGATGCGAGAAAATTAGCACGGCACGTACTTGTGCTTCTTTAATGACTTCATGTGACAGGTACACCATCATTCCCGCGCATTGTTCTTACCGTGGGTGCAGAGGTGCGCACGAAACCCTCTAAAGGTCAACATGTGCCTTGATGTGAGTGCACTCATCTTTATGGTGCATGATAAAAACAACTGCGCGGTCGTGTGGGCGCCTGTGGTGGTGAAACGTCCGCCAAACATCCTTGTTACCGAGATCGCGAACCGCCCACTTCCCAACTCCGACAAACATTCCCTCTGCCGAGCTCGGAGTGCATGATTGTGTGTTTTGCTCTGGGTGTCAATCACCGGCGGCGACCCTGACTGCTGTGGGCTCGAGTTGGGCACGTCATCTGGCGCACCAACGGCATTATCCTGATGATCCGGTTTCTGCTCGTCCGCGGTGTGGTACCGCTTGGCGCCGTCTGGTCTGGCGTCGCTGACCTGACCCACCAGACCAGACCATCCGGTCTGGTGTCGTTGATCTGGTACCTGGCCGAACCTTTTCAACACAGGTCCCCGCATTGTGTGCGGACGGGTGATGCCCGCTGTGCTCACCCGGCTCGTGTGGCCTCAAGTCCGGTCCCGGGGCTGGGGCGGTACGGTACCTGCTGATCTGACCCGTGTGACTTCAAGTTGCGGTCCCGGGCCAGGGCGGTACGGTACCTGCTGATCTGACCCGTGTGACCTTAGGCCGCGGTCTGGTGCTGGCGTGGTGCAGTACTCGCTGATCCGACCCGCGTGACCTTGGTCGCGGTCTGGGGCTGGCGTGGTGAAGCACCCGCTGATCTGACCCGTGTGACCTCAGGTCGCGGTTTGGGGGCCGGCGTGGTGCGGTACCTGCTGCCGCTGACCTCCGGGTTCCTGCTGCTCTGCGCCGGCTCAGTGCTGGCGGCCGCCTCCTCTGTGCTCTACATGCTCATCTACTACTGCTGCCGAACGCTGCCGCCCCGCCGGCACAGCTATGGAAGACACAAGCGGGAGATGTACAGCAGTAGCGGTGAGTGGCGCCACGTGCCGGCCGAGCCCACCTGATGCTCACGTCGGGTCCTGGACCCGATCCGGGAGACGCGGGAGCTCCCGGGGCTGCACAGCGAGGCGTCAGTGGTCCAAAAGTTGGAGGGCGAGGGGAGGAAAGCGGTATAAAACATTGAAGGTCACTTTGATTTGGAGCTCTAATTCTTTCCGCAGCTTGCTAAGCATGATCAACTTTTAAGATGTCAAACCTTATGAGTGGGGTCTGGGTCTGGCGTCCTTATGTGATGTTTGATTCGCTTACTGATCGGTGCTTTTTCAACCCCCTTTTGGGCCTTACAACACTGGCACAGTACTTTTTTTTCTATTCTGAAATTCTGGGTCGGCGGGCAAGACTTGTTGCCGAGTCGGAACGCCAAAAATTAAAACTGAAATCCGCAAAAATACTTTGAGTTATCACTGCTCAGCTCACGTGAAGAGGTTTGCATGCATGCCATATGTGCCATTTCAACCACACACCAGTTCTCAAACTGGTATTACACATCAAGCACAGCAACAGGAGCTCATCACACTGGAACATAGGGGTGGTGAGTGTGTACATTTTGGGGATGGACATAATCCAGGGAGGTATTCCTTGGACACTGAGTTACCTTGTCGCTGCTGCTTCTTACGATGAAGTACGTCCTTTTTAAAATGTTTCACTCCAAGGATGTCATTCAGTCACTTGTCCATTGCCTGTACTAAGCGCCAGAGTGGTGTTCACACTGACTACTGTTCGACAGGCGCCATGCTGAACGGAACGTACGCGCCACTGAAGCAGCGCCACAATGGCGTCTGAGACGGCGCCCGAGCTCTCCAACCGACCGGCAGAGCTCCCCAGCCGACAGGCAGGATTCCCAAGCCGACCGGCAGAACTCCCCAGCTTGCCGGCAGAGCTCTGCAGTTGACCAGCAGAGCTCCCCAGCCGACCGGCAGAACTCCCCAGTTGACCGGCAAAACTCCCCAGCCGACCGGCAGAACTCCCCAGCCGACCGACAGAATTCCCCAGCCGACCGGTAGAACTCCCCAGCCGACCGGCAGGACCCTGCAGCATATCGGTGAAGCTCCCGCCGACCGGCATAACTCCCCAGCCAACCGGCAGAACTCCCCAGCCGACCGGCAGAGCTTCGCAGCCGATCGGCAGAGCTCCGCAGCTGACCGGTAGAACTCCCCAGCCGACCGGCAGAACCCTGCAGCATATCGGTGAAACTCCCCGCCGACCGGCAGAACTCACTAGCCGACCGGCAGAACTCCCCAGCCGACCGGCAGCGTTCCCCGCCGACGACAGAGCTCCGCAGACGCCGCTGTCCACGCAGTGAGTCATCAGGCAGCTTGTCGCCAGCTCTGTTGCGGAAACGGCTCGCACCAAGGCCACAGACCGCCGATACCTGAATGACTTTGGAGAAGGCAGGGTCCGTACACCGCACTGCCCATGCCGACGACAGCTAGAGTCAGAGCCACCATACCACAACGTCGCACTGACCACAGCTGGAGTCGGAGTCGGAGTCTGAGTCGGCAAGCACGGTCCGACGCCGGTGCGTGCCCTGGAGGTGGCCGCTGCCCTCTGTCGCCCGGAGGTCTCCTTTGAGACAGCGCCGCTAGTGTCACCATCTCTTGTCGGCGCCGTCCCGTGGTGACAACGCGCGCGCGCGTGTTTGTGTGCGGAGGACCGCGTCAACAGCCCTGTGACACGTGCCAGCTGACACTCGTGAGTGGATGGAAAGGCGCCGTTGACAGCGAGCCGGCGCGTGAGAGGTCAGCGTCATCGGACCACACCGCCATGACACGAGCAAATGGTTTGCTTTGAAAACCTCGTGTCGTTGGCCGGATTAACGTCAACGCTACAATAACGATAGTTGGTAGCGTCAAGGCGATACATGTGCACTGAATTTGCCGGACACAGGATAGCCGCCCATGCGCTGCCACCAGCGGATCGCCCGTTCGCAGTGTCTGGCGCTGTAAGTCATGCAGTTACTAGAGATGGGTTGCATCTTGTTAAATGTGAAAGGTCTTGATTTGTCTTACCGACCTTGTCGTATTACGTATTAGTTACGGTGTCTTCAAATGCATTTTCATGATCATGTCATGTTGTTAGCATATATAGGAGCGTAGTTGGTGGATTACAGATTATGCCCTGCCACGATTCCCTGCGGTTTTACTCAGCGGTGACTTTCTTTAAAGCTTTGTTTTCAAACAGCTGACAGTCGCCCCCGTGTCGTAGTCGGCCAAGACACCGATCCCGCTCCACTTGTGCGCCGAGCGGAAGCGTCGTTGACGACTCAGTGACCACACATTAACGCCTGCTATGTCCACTGGGGCCATGTCAACCGCACAGCTGATTAAGCCGCGCGCGAAGTGATTGTTTTCCTTTTTGTTTTGTTTTTCAAATACAGAAGCATCCACGGTCTGGCGTATCGTGTGCTATCGCTTCCTCCCAACACCGAATCAACATGCTTGATATTTTCCAAAAGGAGGAAACTGATGTGATATGGCGGATGCCAGGTCCCACCTTGCGGGTCTGTCATAGATCCAGTCTTCGGATTGGCATTGATACCAGCGAGTTTGCGGATCTTTGGATCCATTGATCGCGTCACTATGCGGTTATGCTGTAATATTTTCGGTGCTAAATCAAGCACCGGTTTCTTACGGCATTGTAAACCATCGCAACGTCATGCCAACTGGTCGTCGAACATGAGAGCCATGAGAGCCATTCCTTCCAGGGTGAGAGGCAGGCGACGCCATATAGCCTTAGTAGCTGGGTGCGTCGTAAAGCCCCAATGACAGACAGACACAGACAGAACATGAGAGCCTAATGCGGGAGCACCGAAAAACAATAGGCACAACTAGGTCCAGATGACAACACGGGGTTGCAACGTCACCAAACCACAACGTTGGGCGAGACACAAATCATACATTTATCACGCTTTGCCATCGAGTGGTTATTCGAGGGTCACCGCATTCTTGCAGAAATATACTTGTCACTGTTAACATTACAGTCAAAGTTATCACTCAATTGATTGTCACCCAGCTGGCTGGGTTGACTGGATATGAGTTGACTGAACTGTCACGTGAGTTGACATATCAGGACCACCTTGCATGCTCGGTAGCTTCCCATTAACAGTCTGCTGACTTCTTCTTTCTACGATTTTTTACAAGCCTGATGTATTGATAAACCAAGAACTGACGGCACAATCTGGAGACCTCTCAGTGCTTGATGTGTCCTTCTCACAGAAAAGAAGGGATACTTTTGCATGACTACGTTCACACAACTTGGGATTAGAATATGTATATATATATATATATATATATATATATATATATATATATATATACCATTCTCCGATTTGTGATATACGGACTGCTTTCTTAGAAGCCATGGCGTGTGCGGACTTGTAATACAGTATAATTAGAGCGGTCATGGTTTGAAATCAAACATTTAATTCGTACTTTTTGGTAGGATATGTTTCTGTGATGTGAGCCCACGCTAAGCGGCTCTTGTTTGGTGAGCCCTGGCCTGATCGTAAACTTCCGAGTCAACGGCAAAACTTGGCAGCGAAAGCTTAACGCGCCGACATGACCGGCACAGTCCATCCTGCCCTCTGGCGCCAGCTGACCGTCAGAGCGGCCGTCGTCACTGGCCGCGGGATGTCCCAGTCGGTGACCTACAGTGAACCCGGCAGTCGAACCCACCGCGCCGCAGGTCTGTGAAATGGAAGGCGAGGCACTCTTACCAGCTGAACTGTCGGGATGGACTAAAGTTAACTGCGGGACGGGACGATTTAAAGTGCGGCCCGGCGGTGTATCTTCCACCTCGTACCTCAAACGGTGCCGAGGAATGGAATCAACATTTTGTGAGGTGTGTCCAAGAGGTGCTGTGGACATTGGTATTGGAACACTGTTGACAGACTTCGCGAAGAGCTCTGACCATGACCGCAGCTTCGAGACGTCGAGTTTCGTCAAGATAGCGCAGCTTCGAACGTCGAGTTTCATCAATATAGCGCAGTTTCGAGACGTCGAGTTTCGTCAACATAGCGCAGCTTCGGGACGGCGAGTTTCGTCAATACAGCCAATGCTCTTTTGATAGCGCCGTTTAACCACTTACTCCTGCTATACCGAACGTCGATTATTTTCATCATGAGAACTCCGAACTCATCACACCGAAACACTAAATTCACAGCCTGCGTTGCTTATATCAACTTCCATCAGGTGTTCAAACGTTGGACGTTAGCTACGTTGAATAAATAGGGTGCTCCATGTTTGTGTTGGGTTTCGAACTGAGGTAGCCATTTGAAGATCTTCCGGTGCAGTTCACAGCCCTGCCCGTATTACAATCTTAAAACCATCTGAATTCTGAACTAGACATTCACGAAATTGCGGAACTACTTCAAGGTCACCAAAGCATGCATAGCGCTACAGACACGTCTTTCAAACATTGCCACCTTGTTGGCCATGCGGCGTCCAGGGCCAAGGCAAGAACAACCATTGGCGTATTCGCGTCTGGCGTACGCGAACATGATTTCTGGAGCCGAAAAACTCCAACAGACACAGATACAATTGCATAGGTCGATACAAATATTACCACTAGTAAAGGCCTCACGGCATGAAATAAAACGTCCTTCGGTGGTCAGGAAATAAACCCGAAGCAATGACAGGACAGCAAACTGGCTGTGGAATGGACACAACCACAGATTAAAAACCTAATACATAGCATCCCCACCGCAGATCACCTCCGCGTTTGCCATGTTTTTCCGCTATCCCTACCGACGATACATCCTGAGCGCTCCACTCGTGCCATCTGTCGGCCGCGGCGGGAGTCAACTGGCTCGTGGAACACGGTGGACAGACGCACGAATGACGCGCGGTATAAGGTCGCTTACATACAGCAGCCGAGAAAACGGAGAGAAACAGGCATCCACCCTGCCCGAGATGCGCTTACTTTGATAACAACGCTCTTGCACCCATCCCAACACTGACCAAGGCTCTCATGTATCTATTTTAAATGCGTAAAACCGGTGACTTTCTGGAACATAATATCACTGTAGGCACTGGTCGCAAACTTATGGCGGTTTTCGGCAGCAAGAAGCCCAATTTTAGGCGTTGTTTAAGTATTGATATGTATCTCAAAGCCTAAATCAGATGGAGGTGCTAAGCAACAGCACGGACAAAAAAGTACCAAAAGTAGGGGAAAACACCATCTACAAATCACTACCGGACCTCAAAAACCGTAGGGCAAGTAATCGACCGGAAAGCAACCAAAGTTGGTCTGCTTTTTTAATAGCGCGAGGCACGTTGTCACGCTCCTTTTATACAGCGTCAGCGACTGTATTCGTCATGTCAAAGCTCAGGGCTCACGGGGCAACCGGGGTTAGAAACTGGGCTACCTCGTGTGAGTTCCAGGTGCTTACCACCTGGCCATTACGCCCCCGTGTCAGTCTGCTGATTTACAGCGTTAGATACATACGAATGGGGCAAATCAAATGACGTCGATAACAAGATTTGCAAAAAAGAAGCAAAAACAAAAAACACTCACGTGCACACGTTGACGAGGGTCATTGTGACGTAATCCGGGCATTACAACGCACTCTGATCATGAGACTATATGGCATCGCCTGCCTCTCACAAGGCCGGCGCCACGGGAATTGAACCCCGTGCCTCTGGTCCCCAGGCGCGCAGATGCACCAAAATACACTAGCGGTACCCTCGGTGAGGGATCCTCAAGTGCATTCTCATATCTATTGGCATGGATCCCTAAAGACGACTGGTTCCACTTACTTATGTTCTGGTATCATCTCCATGAATATCATACTTCCGTTTGCTATGACCCACATCACCCCACGCTGCCAGCGCCTCACTAAGGCAAGTTGCTCAGCTCTGTCGTCGACAACAATGTAGCTATTCACTCTTTTCACCGATATATCTAATAATGTTGTTTCAAACCTCCATTCTTTGAAGCTCACTCTATCCGTCAGAACGACATCTTCCTGACAAAAAACACAAGTTTGGTCGGTCCGTTTTGACAGCTGTATTAGAACTGTGGCACACACCAAACCAAGTGGCCATATCACTTCCACATAACCAGCACATACACCCCGAACGTCTAGCTCGCCGCCGGCAGCCGCTCAAACGGCCGTCGAGATGGCCTCCGTGTACTTCTTGATCCTCGAGGCGATCGACATGTCCACATACTTGTCGCCGACGGTGACCACCATGCCACCCACGATGGCAGGGTCCACCTTGGTGGAGTACTTCAGCACCTCGCCCTTCTTGAGGAACGCCTTGAGCGTGGCCTCCACTTCCTTTTGGCCGGCGGCGTCTAGCGGCTTGGCTGTCGTCACCTCGCACACCACCTGCGGAGCGGTCAGAGGTCAGGGACGGGACATCTCAGCGGCCACCTGCGGAGCGGTCTGTGGTCAGGGACGGGGCACCTCAGAGCACACCACCTGCGGAGCGGTCAGTGGTCAGGGACGGGGCACCTCAGAGCACACCACCTGCGGAGCGGTCAGTGGTCAGGGACGGGGCACCTCAGAGCACACCACCTGCGGGGCGGTCAGTGGTCAGGGACGGGGCACCTCAGAGCACACCACCTGCGGAGCGGTCAGTGGTCAGGGACGGGGCACCTCAGAGCACACCACCTGCGGGGCGGTCAGTGGTCAGGGACGGGGCACCTCAGAGCACACCACCTGCGGGGCGGTCAGTGGTCAGGGACGGGGCACCTCAGAGCACATCACCTGCGGAGCGATCAGGGTCATGGGTGGGGCACCTCAGAGCACACCACCTGCGGGGCGGTCAGTGGTCAGGGACGGGGCACCTCAGAGCACACCACCTGCGGGGCGGTCAGTGGTCAGGGACGGGGCACCTCAGAGCACACCACCTGCGGGGCGGTCAGTGGTCAGGGACGGGGCACCTCAGAGCACACCACCTGCGGAGCGGTCAGGGTCAGGGGCAGGGCACCTCAGCGGCCGCACCGCAGCATGCAGTCGCTCAGAGCACACCACAGCCCTGCAGAATACCTGACACGAACGCTCGTCCAGGAATTGTGCCTAAACGATGCACTTGCGCACTACCCTAGGCACACCGAAAACCGTGGTGCCACGGCGCGAGACCGGCGCAGGTTCATGAATACACTTCTGCGCGCAGGCGATGAACGAAGCTGCCACTGGCGCCACCTGCTGCGCACATACGAAACCTTCGTTTACGAACGACATCCCAGCCTCGGCCTTTCAGCGTTGCCGTTCGCACACGATCTCGGACGTGCGCGTCGTACTCACACGGATCTCGGAAAAGGATTGGCGGTTGGCTATTTGCCGATGACTCCACATGATCGTAGCAGACAGATGACTTCGGGGAAAACGTTATGATGGATGCACAAAGATCTATGCTCTTCCAGGACCGTGGCGAGGAAATGACAC